GGAGGAGGAGGAGGAGGAGGAGGAGGAGGAGATTATTGGATTTATACCCCGCCCTTCACTACCCAAAGGAGCTTCAGAGCGGCTGACAAACTCCTTTCCCTTCCCCTCCCCACAACAGACGCCCTGGGAGGTAGGAGGGGCCAAGAGAGCTCTGACAGAAACTGCTGTTTTTTCAAGAACAGCTCTTGTCAGAACTAGGGCTTGCCCAAGGTCATCCAGCAGGTACAAGAGGAGGAGTGGGGAATCAAACCCGTTTCCCCCAGCTTAGAGTCCGCGCACTTAACCACTGCACCAAACTGGAGAGGGAGGGAGGGTGCGGAGAGGCGATTCCCACCCTCTCCTCTGGCTGCGCAAATGTTCTTTGCCATTCGATCATGTGGAACTTTCCTGACTCTCAAAATCCATGCTAGGTTTGACTAACACCCGAGGTCTCTTATCAATGCTGGTCTATAGAAGTTTGCCAAACACCAGCGACAAATGAATGACTAGGCTTGGCCTGGGGCAAACCTGCCAGTCTCTCTCCCCTCACTTGGGTTTGCCACATATATTAGCACAGACCTTCTGGTGCGGCAGCCATGAGCCAGAGAGGGAGGTCTGGAGTGGACACACAGAGCTAGGCAAGCAAGTCCCTCTGCCAAATCTTCAAGACAAAGGAAAGGCAGGGCAAATGCCAGCGGTAAGAAGAAGAAGAAGAAGAAGAGATTGGATTTACACCACACCCTTCACTACCCAAAGGAGTCTCAGAATGGCTCACGACCTCCTTTCCCTTCCCCTCCCCTCCCCACAACGGACACCCTGGGAGGGAGGCGGGGCTGAGAGAGCTCTTTCAAGGACTGCCCTTGAGAGAACAGCTCTGAGAGAACTTGTGAATGGAGGGGTCTGGAGACTGAGCCCTACGAGGAAAGGCGAAGGGCCCTGAGAAGATTCAGTTTGGAGAAGAGGAGATCGAGGGGGGATGGGATTGCTCTCTTTAAATATATGAAAGGCTGTCATGTGGAGGAGGGCCAGGAGCCGTTCCAGTGGGCAGCAGAGGAGAGGACCCGAAGCAACGGGTTTAAATGACAGGCAGAGAGGTATCAGCTGGATATTAGGAAACACTTTTTCAGGGTCAGAGTGGTTCAGAGGTGGAATCAGCTGCCGAGGGAGGTGTGGTGAGCTCCCCTTCACTGACAGCTTCCAAGAAGAGGCTGGACGAATTTTTGTCAGAGATGCTTTAGGCTGGTCCTGCACTAGGCAGGGGGTTGGACTAGATGGTGGTCTGTATGGCCCCTTCCAACTCTATGATTCTATGTGATAGTCCTGCTGTAGACTGCCTTGGTCAGGCCGCACCTGGAGTCCTGTGTGCAGTTCTGGAGGCCTCACTTCAAAAGGGAGGTGGGCAAAATC